AAGCACTCTTGCTATTTGCACTGACTGGCCGTGTAGATTTTTGTTCCTTTCCACTATCGGAATCTCTCTCAAACACACAAGCCTGTTGCCTTATTCTTGCTCCTATTGGGGATGAAGATGGAGGATGGTTTTTAAAGCATCTTGTCCATCGGTTGAAGGATTCATGCCAACCCCCCCAAAGACGCATTTGCAACCCCGCTCGTAGTTTTTTTAAATGTCAGCTATTTTGTGCAGATCTCTCTCATTTAAATGGTGAGAGGTCAGCAGCACTGTGGAAGCAGAGGCTCATGCGGTATAGTGGTTTGAGCATTGGCCTGCTAAACCCAGGGTTGTCACGTCAATCCTTGAAGTGGCCATTTAGGGGTCTGGGGATTGGTCCTTCTTTGAGCAGGGGGTTGGACTAGATGACCTCCTAAGGTCCCTTCCAACCTTGATATTCTATTCTATGGGTGCCACCAGCACTGGCCTTCCTCAAGAAACAACTCCCTGCTGGGGCCCAGGGTGAAACTGCTGCCTGCTTCTCCATTCGGTTCTGCACGTTGCAATTGGCTGGGGAACTGAGGCTGCCCTGAACTTGTCCATGTAGAATGGGAGCAGGATAGAGCTCAGCTGGGTGGCAACTGTCTTGAGTTTATTTAGTTAACCAGGGGAGATGGAACACTGGGCCATGGAAGGTTCCATGACACCTCGGAAATATTTTAGTGGTGTCTCCAGCTAGGTGAAATGCAATCTGAACTTGATCTTCTCTGAAAGTCACTGGAAAACCAGCTGAGATCTGCAAAGCTGGGCTGGTGTTAGGAAAAGCTCAAAACCTGGAAGGTGTGTGTGTGTGTAGATTCCCAGGTTGAAATGACAAATGGGTGCATAATCAATAGGAAGGGAGAGTGAGCCCGTCTAGCTTCTGAACCTGCCAAAGGGACTGGCCTGGGATTGAAGTGCCCCTGAAGACTTTCCCCGCTTATCTACCTCGGAGTGGATGAGGTTCTGACCTAGCCTGTCCACAAAGTATCCAGGGGCATGGAGGTTGCACAAACACAGCCATCCCAGAACTGAATTAGATGCAAGCTTTATGATTTTGGATGTTTTGTCATGTATGAGTGTAACCTACTGGTCAGAGTCAGAGTGTTAGTGTCCTGCTCTGTGCTCAATCCCCAGAAGATATAGGTCTGTTTCAGCTCTTAGCTACACAGCTTGGGTCTTTTACTCAAGTTGTGTAGACACTCATGCCTTCACCTCTGGAGGTCTGTGTGGGTCAATCCCTGGTGTATCAGTTAAGATGGCAGCTGTCACTTGGGGATTTGTCCGGGGTTTGAACTGCTGGGGACAAGCTTCCTTCGTCCAGAGGAGGTATGTAATCTTGGCCAGTATATTACATGTCCTCATCTGTGTCTGATCCGCAGACGATATGGGTCATATGCAGCTGATATGGCATACTGGTACCTTTTTCATATTGCCTTTTTATTCTCCGGTATTTAACCTTTCATTTTACTAAAAAGTGTCTAGCTGCTGAAAGAGCCTTGAAAACACGAGCTGAGTGTAACTGACACAGCGACGTCTGCCTGTGTTTGAAGAACCCGAAACAATAACTGAGAAGCGTGACCTGCACCCTTCGTCTCAGTGAGTTCCAACTCAGATATGTGATGCTAACAATGTTGATCCTTAAGAGATTAACTATTTCACTGCTCATCCAAGCATGTAAAGAAGGAGAATGGAGGATTATAGTCTGAAAATCCATACAAGAGCATGCATAATCATAGCCTGAACATCTGCATCATCTACTGGAGGTGGTATCGTGTGGGTGGAGCTTATTTTGTGGGTGGAGCTTGGAAATGTACCCTCCCCCCTTTAGCTCAAGCTATAGAGATGTGTGTTTTCAGCTCTGGAGGTCCCTGGTTCAATCCTTGGTGTGTTGTCCAAAATGGCAGCCATCATGTGAGCCCTACAAAAAGCTGTAAATGGAGGCAAGGCTTGGTTGCTGTGGTCAATGCTATGCCGATGCCGCTTGCTCTTTAAGAGCCCTCTTCTTGAGTCCCTGTGGAGGCAGGATTTGGCTGGCCGTTAATATGTGCGGTTTGTATGGAAATGCTTCCCTCTAGGCTTACACTCAGCCAGCTCCCTCTTCAAAGCACCTGTCTTCATGGTAACACCCCCGAGGGGCACTCCAGAGCAGAACTAAGGTCAAGGGTCAACAGTGCAGGCTTGGGGGTCCGGATTTGCCCAGGGAGAGTGGCTGAGGCATGAGAGGCGTGGAAAAGGGACAGAGTGGAATCCCCTTGCCAGTAGCTGTACGGGGAGCCCCTCACTCAGGTGTGAATCCACCACCTGAATCATACATGCTCCCAGGGCACGGGAGAAGAAGCAAAACTTTTCTCAACCGAGTTCCAATTCAGAAATCTCATGACAGATACATCTCAGGGTTTGGAAGTTTTGTCTGTCTTCTGTTTTTCAGGTTAACAATACTGCAAACCGCAGTCTCGAAGTGAAGGGGCTGGTTACACTGCTCAGCACTACTGGATATGAGGTGGGCATTAGCTGGCACAGCAAGTATTTAATGAAGATCTATACAATTTCCTAGAAAGCTTCCCGCTCCTTTACTATATAGCAGTTTGTGCACATATACACATTCTTGTGTGTATGCTCTCTCATATACACTCATAAACATAAATTCATCAGTGGTAAAGTTTTCAGATGACACAAAGGGTACGTCTACACTTACCGGAGGGTCCGGCGGCTGGCAATCGATGTTCTGGGATCGATCCCGGAAGTGCTCGCCGTCGACGCCGGTACTCCAGCTCGCCGAGAGGAGTACGCGGCATCGATGGGGGAGCCTTCCTGCCGCGTCTGGACCCGCGGTAAGTTCGGACTAAGGTACTTCGAATTCAGCTACGTTATTAACGTAGCTGAATTTGCGTACCTTAGTCCGAAGTGGGGGGATAGTGTGGACCAGGCCAATTTACTATATAGCAGTTAGTGCACATATACACATTCTTGTGTGCATGCTCTCTCGTATACACTCATAAACATAAATTCATCAGTGGTAAAGTTTTCAGATGACACAAAGATTGGGGAAGCGGTAAATAACGAACAGGCTAGGGCTGATCTGTATCACTTGATATAAACTGGGCGAAAGCAAACAATATGCGTTGTAAACCAGCTAAATGTAAATGCATACCTCTAGGCACAAAGAATGAAGGCCATACTTACAGGGTTGGGGGACTCTCTCCTGGGAAGCAGTGGCTCTGAAAAAGATCTGGGGGTCATGGTGGATAATCAGTGGAACATGAGTTCCCAGTGTAACTCTGTGGCCAAAAGAGCTAATGCCATCCTGGGATGCACATACAGGAGAATCTCGAGTAGGAGTAGAGAGGTTACTTTACCTCCGTATTTGACACTGGAGTGACGGCTGCTGGAATATCGTGTCCAGTGCTGGTGCTCACAATTCAAGAAGGAGGTTGATAAATTGGAGAGGGTTCAGAGAAGACCTGCAGAATGATTAAAGGATTAGAAAACATGCTTTATAGTGATAGACTCCAAGAGCTCAATCTAGTTAGCATAACAAAGAGAAGATTAAGAGATGACTTGATTATAGTCTATTGGTATCTACAAGGGGAACAAATATTTAATAATGGGCTCTTCAATCTAGCAGAGAAAGATATAATATGATCCAGTAGCCGGAAGCTGAAGATAGACAAATTCAGACTGGAAATAAGGTGTACATTTTTAACAGTGAAAGTAATGAACCATTGGCACAATTGACCTAGGGTTGTGGTAGATTCCCCATCACTGGCCATTTTTAAATCAAGCTTGGATGTTTTTCTAAATGATCTGCTCTAGGAATTGTTTTGGGGAAGTTCTCTGGCCTGTGTTATACAGGAGATCAGACTAGATGATCACAATGGTCCCTTCTGGCTTTGGACTCTATGAATCTATATAGGATCAAAATTTTAGTCTGGTTAAATGGGTCTAGTTGCCCAAAAAAGTTGGGAATGCCAGAAAGATTTTTCTATTTAGGTCTCAAGGAATTTCTTTTTAATTGACATGTTGACAATTTTATGATTATTTTATTTTGATAGTTTTTATATCATCTGCACCTGGAGGTTGCAAGAGGTGCATTTTACACACGGAAAAATAAATTCACTGAAGTATAACTCCCATGTCCCTGGACCTTATACTTCTTACTACACCAAAACATTCATTCACATACATGTGTTCATTCTTTGCCTCTCATTCACACTCATCCACCATACACTCCTGGTCATTCATGTTTATTCACATATGCACGTTTCCTCTGACTCTCACTTATTCACACACTTCATACTCACGTTCACGCACACTCTATACACTCGCATGTCCACAAACTCACATACCCCATTCATTCAGGCACGACAGACACACAAGCGCAGTGAAGCTCCTGCACAAGTTCCACATGCTCGTGCTCACAATCATGCAAGCATTCAAGCCCAGTCACACTTTCACGTCTTGCTCACTCCTGCAGTCACAATCAAGCATACATGCACACGCACACTCTCATGCGCACAATCACACTCATGCAGCTGATTCTCACGCTCACGCACACAATCGCAGCCATGCGCTTCATTCTCACGCTCGTGGTGCACAATCACGCTCACACAGCTGATTCTCACACTCATGCACAGGCTCTCTCTTACACACACACACGCACTCCGTGCCTCGATCACTCCCCTCCCGCCCAGCCCGCTATATCTGCCTGCCTCTTTCCCTGTGACTTCCAGCCTGCCCTGCTGCAGCTGCTCCCAGCCCGCCCCTCACAGTCGCATGTGCCGGCCTCTGCTGGGGGCGGAGCCTGAGCTCCTAACCACGCCCCTCCCCAGTCGTCCCCGCCCCTCCCCGCCGAGCCCTCACGGCGTGTGGGCGTGGCCTGTGGGAGGGGCCCCGCCCCGCTCCCGGCTGGGCACTCGCTGCCTCCCAGGCTATAAGAAGGCGGCTCGGGTAGCCGGAGCCTCATCGGGCTCTGCGGGGAAACGAGATGATCAGCCCTAGCGCTGCAGCAAAATGCTGGATGGACACCTCCTTCTGGGATGGCTCTCCTCCTGCGCGCTCCTAGTGCTGCTGGGCGGCGCCCCGGGACCCTCCGCCGCCTACTTCGGGTAGGTCCGCCGGGCGCCCCGGCCCCTTAGCGGCGCCCCCACTTCCCCCAAGGCAGCTTCATCTGGCACCCCCATGTACTTTCCCCCACTTCCCCGCGCCCTGCACCCCCACTTCCCCCAAGGCAGCTTCATCCGGCACCCCACCTCAGTGCGCCTTGCACCCCCCTTCCCCAAGGCAGTGCGCCCTGCACCCCCATGTAGCTTCCCCCACTTCCCCCAAGGCAGCTTCATCCGGCACCCCACCTCAGTGCGCCTTGCACCTCCCACTTCTCCCAAGGCAGTTCCCCCTGCACCCCATGTAGCTACCCCCACTTCCCCGCGCCCTGCACCTCCCACTTCTCCCAAGGCAGCTCCCCCTGAACCCCTGTTTCCCCATGGCAGCTCCCCCTGCACCCCACCTCAGTGTGCCCTGCACCCCTGCTTCCCCCAAGGCAGCTTCATCCGGCACCCCATGCAGCTTCCCCCGCGCCCTGCACCCCCCACTTCTCCCAAGGCAGCTTCCCCTGCACCCTCACTTCCCCCTCAGCAGTCCGCTCCCAAAGCATCTCCCCCTGCACCCTCGCCTCAGTGAGCCCAGCACCCTCCTTCCCCCCAGTCTGCACTCAGCCGTCCCTCTCGGTGCCCCTGGCGCTCGCAGTCCTGCGCGTCTCGCACCTAGCCCGTGTGCGCTGTGAACGCCCCTCGCTGCACCTTGCGCCCCCCCTCCTGCTCAGCGGCGCCCCGGGACCCTCCCGTCTCCTCCTTCGGGCCGGTCAGGCGGGGCATCTCCTTCCATGGTCTAGTCCCCCGCACCCTCTGTCTCTGCGCCCTGTACCAGGCTGGGGGCGCGCTGCCCGGGGCGCGCTGGGGCTGTCTGCAAAGTGCTTGGCTTGTGCTGATCATATGGGGGGAGCCCCCATCTCTGGCCCTCGAGAGCGAGGATGCTCCTCTGGCCTGGTGCCAGGACTGTGTCAGTGCCCCCCACTTCCTGACGGCCTGGGGTGGGTCGAGGCCAGTGATCTAGCCCACATCTGGGCACCCCCCGCCTTCCCCTCGAGGCGAGAGCCCTTGGGAGCCAGTTCCCCCTAACACTTTACTGTGGGTGACCCGCTCGGCGAGTTCTTGGAACTGACCTCAGCTGGCGGGTGTGAGCCGGGGGCCAGCCCTGGGAGCCGGCGGAGTGTGCTCAGTCCGCACGGAACAGCAGAGAGAGAAAGAGGGGTGCGTGGAAGGGACACAAACCGGACCCAGCCTCTCCTCCCCGTTTCCCCCCGCAATGGAGTGTTGGCAACTGGTGGAGTCCCCCGGCCCCAGGAACCTCGCTTGTTGTCAAGCCTCTGGAAAGCGGGCGCGGGACGTTGCTTCTCCTCTTGAATTCCACCTTGTCATTAATCACTGGGAGTCTAGAAGCTGCAGGTTGTTGCTTGGGAGCTGTTTGTTTGTGTGTTAAGTGGGATTTCTCCCCCCCCCCCTTCCCTATTTCTTATAGTAATTGCAGCGCTGTATTCATGGCTCTTGTATTTGGCGTCTGCTTTGAATCTCTCCCTGTAGCCTGGGCAGACTGACTGAGATCATTTTAACTGGGGTTGATTTAAAAAAAAAAAAAATTGTGCTGATTCTGGAGTCTTAGTTTGTCTTTCCTGTAATGTTTAGTGGTGGGGAACAGTGTAGTCTCCAAGCAGATATTTTTCTTATGGTTGTGGTCCACCCACCCCCTTCCCTCTCTTTCTGCATACGGTGCAACTTAAGGGCACGTTATACAATGGCAAAAGGCACGTTTGTGTGTCTGTCCTAGGGATCCAGCTCTTCCTGTCTCCATAGCTATTCTGTTTAGGGGCCATGAGTCTCTGCAATCCGACTACTCTTTATTTTCATAAACCAAACGTGACTTAAAAAAAAACTGGCAGTAGCCGGGAAAACTTGAATGTCTGTCTGTGTGAGGGAGTGATTGCTTTGGGATCTAGAGGATGGAGAAGGGATCTGCACACTCTGCTAGGTGTGGTTTTGTTGTTCAGTTGTCTAAACTTGCAGTACATCATGGGAAGCCTCCTTAGGGATAAATTCTCCTCTGTTCTCCCCCCACCCCAAACCACAGCTCTCCCCACCAAGTTAATGACCATAAAACACACTTGCAAAATCCAGATATTTACAAACTGTTTTATAGAAAAAATCACTCAAATCCTCGATTTCTCCCCCCCCCCCGCTTGCTGTTCTATTGAAAGTGTCCGATCACTGCTCCTATAACTGCTTTTTGGACAGGAAATCAAAGAACAGCAAGAACAAGTCTCTTCCCCCCCCCATCTCAAGACTCTCCAGTCTCAGAGCGTGCATGTGGGCTTTTAATGTAGTTTCTGAATTGGTATATTCTGGTTTAAACGCACCAGATTTATCTGGTTCAACTGTTCTGGCTCTAGTGTCTTCGCTTTCTCTCTTAGAGGAAATGTATTGACAACTCTTCTCTCGATGCATCCGAAGAAGTGAGGTTTTTACTCACTTATGCCCAAATAAATCTGTTAGTCTTTAAGGTGCCACCAGACTCCTTGTTGCTTCTCTTTGGTATATACTAAAGATCAGAAAACTTTCCAGTGCTACCCTTTCTAGTCTGCAGGTAAAGAAAAGTGAGACAGGAAGCATGGGGTTTTGGTTTGATGTTTACAGCTTTCACTCTTCTTGCATGCAGCTTAGTTTGCTTAATGCTTACAAAGCACAAGACTGGTTCCTGTTGTGCAGATTGCCCTGTAACAGCAAGCACATGGCTTTTCTGGAGTGTGCTTTCTTCACTGCTCTCCCGGAATACACCTTTTCCTTGGCTACATGGCGCCTCTTGGACCAAGAGTCTTGGTCCTCTCTCTTGCAGTGTGGATTTGGTGTGCGGCTAGCATGGGTCCACCCGTGACTTCCCTGCTCTTGTCACCTGTTACGTCTTCCCCAAGTTTGAAAGACTGGGGTTTGCATGCCGTTTCACAGTGGCACCAGCAGAGGGGTCCGTCAACCCATTAATGAAGCCAGTGGAGTGGAGGGGAATTGACTGGAGGAGACTTGCAGGTGTATCCTGTTCTCAAAGAAAATAGAATATTTTCATGGGAAAGTTTGCTTTTTTTTTTTTTTGTCCTCTTCTCTGGGAGGATCCATTCTCTCAATATTCTGAATTGAAGTCTAAAGCTAAACATATGAAAGGAGGAAAAAGTACATTTCTCCCCCCCCCCCCCAACTTGGTTTCTTCTCCTGCTTTACCTCTGCATCCTATTGAAGATCTGGCTTTCCCTTTTATCACTAGATCTATCTATAATTGCTGCTGGCTTTGCTTCCCGTATCAGTCACTGGGCTAAAACCTCCAACTGATCTCGGTAGAGAAATTTGAGTTCAGACACTGAAGCAGTCTGTCTTTCACGCTCTGTTAATCCTGGTGTAGTTCCACTCCCAGTGGCTGGGGGAAGCATTGTGGGGTTCTTTCTTTTTTTTTTTTTCTTCTTCAAAGAATCTGTTTGAAATGGGATCAGCTTGTAATGGGTAGAGGGAGCAGGGTGGAGTGGGATCGGGAGAGCCAGTCCAGTAAACGAACGTGAAATCTAATAGTGAATCTAGGTTCTGTCTCTGGGATTTGTATACTCCAGCACCTTGAGCCACACAATCCATTAGTAAACCACCCACAGGGGAGCTGAGATTTCTTCTTCCAGTAAGACCAGGTCTATTGTCTTGCTCTGTGGTCTGGCAAACGTCTCAAAACACTGCGGCTTGCAAGCTCCCTTCCCAAACCCATGCTGTTTAACTCTTTGCTCCTGGGCTAGCTTCGTGAGAGAAGACCTCCCATTTTGTGAGGGTTTTGTGGTAAGGGTCCTGCAGTCCTGTGAGCACATGGAAGTTTGTGCCTTCTGCAAACCACATCATGCATCATCTAAAATAGCAGACGGCACTAAGCATTTGCATTCTGACTCTACTCTCTATGCTGGATGGGGATTGTTCTGAGATCTGTTTAAATCACGCAGTGCTAATGTTGTAGTGGAACAGGTAGTCTATTGCAGCTGTTAGGAGTAGCCTTTCCTAAAGCCAGCTTCCAACAGTCAGTTTAGATTATAGGCACTTCAAAACTAATAGCCTGGTTCAAGAGAGAGGTGCAATGTCCACTGTGCCCGACTTAATTCCAGATTCCCTTCTTGGTCTCAGGGAATTTCTTGCATTGCTGAGCAGAGGGGTTGTTTGTGTTGCTACTTGAATTCTCCAGACTTGGGCTTGATTATTCTAAAGCATCTTGTGGGGGGGAAATGCCAGCTGTTCTATCCTGCTAGGTGAGCATCCCAGGTCCTGGGGATTTTGCTGTGCAAAATGAAGTTTGCTTATGTAAATTAAGCATCTTTTCTGTTTGGTTAGAGCCCTGCAAATGATTAGCATCTGCTGCTAATCTCTTCATTGTTCTTTAAGAGGACTAAAGCAGAGATCATGCTCACTGAGCCTTCTTACACACAAGAATATTCAATAACCGGGTTCATGGTCCTTGTAAATCAGGCATTGTTGTGGATGCACAGTGTGCATGGAAGGTATACTTGGGTGCGCTGCACTCTTTAGTACGGGCACCCCTACTGTTGAGAATGGAAGTGCTTCTGCTTTACAAGCCAGAGCCTGGGTGAAAAGACACCCAGCAGGCCTCTAGGTGACTCTTACAAACATGCATGTGATTGATTTTTTCTTTTTCCCTGCCAGGCAGCATGGGCTGTGCTGACTCCCCTTGGCCCAAGTCAGAAAGCTGATCAGCCCCCTTGCAAAAATCTCCTGTGAGACTCCTCAGTTAGGTATGAGACTAAAGTGAAAACTGCACTAGGAACCTAATCTCCAGGGGAAATTCTGCAGGTCAAATTCTGCTCCTAGATCTATACCAGATTAACCAACATATACCCTCTTTCAGCGTACCTGGGATTTACACCCGTGTAGCAGAGCAGAATCTGCCTCATCCTGTCAGCAGGACCTGCTTTTAAAGCACCGAGGTGTCTAGTGCGAATCTAGCTTGGCCTTCAGCACGCACCCCT